CGTCACACATAGGGTACGTCTCGTTCAAGTCATCGAATCGTCACACATAGGGTTCGTATCGTACTAGTCATCGAAAATCGGTCACATATCGTACTAGTCATTGAATCGTCACACATAGGGTACATTATGTACGTATCGTACTAGTCATCGAAACGTCAAACATAGGGTACGTATCGTTCAAGTCATCGAATCGTCACACATAGGGTTCGTATCGTACTAGTCATCGAAAATCGGTCACATATCGTACTAGTCATCGAATCTTCACACATAGGGTTCGTATCGTTCAAGTCATCGAATTGTCACACATAGGGTACGTATCGTACTAGTCATCGAATCTTCACACGTAGGGTACGTATCGTACTAGACATCGAAACGTCACACATACGGTACGTATCGTACTAGTCATTGAATCGTCACACATAGGGTTCGTATCGTTCAAGTCATCGAATCGTCACACATAGGGTACATTATGTACGTATCGTACTAGGTATCGAAACCTCACACATAGGGTACGTATCGTACTAGTCATCGAAACGTCAAACATAGGGTTCGTATCGTACTAGTCATTGAATCGTCACACATAGAGTACGTATCGCACTAGTCATCGAAATGTTACAAATAGACATTAACTGTTTGTTATCCATAACATTTTGACTCCAACCCCTACCGGATATGTTATACACCATTTAAACATGTGAATACTAGATATAACGCATGCGGAACTTGTTCTTGTTTTACGAACATTATTGAGATCTATTGAATATATATATTCTTATGAAACGTCGATATTGTTTAAACTGTGCGCCATTAATTGACCCATTAATTCGAATTCGTGGAATTAGGTTACCCACGAAATCAATTAAATTAAAAACCCCACGAGATTTGTGATTTCAAAGATGCAAAGGAGTCCAACTTAAAAATGTGTAAGATGTCTTCCATTTGTATTTGCGTATTTGTTGTTGCGTTAGAGACCGTCGGCGACGCCGGACACAGGTCCATCAGCGGCGGCAGAGGGAACCCAATACGCCTATATCGAAACGTCAGGACTGATCACGAAGGACGACGTAGCAAAGTTTACAACTTCTCCTATGTCTTTTGAGGGTAATTCAGTCAGCAGAATCGCTTGTTTGATTAGAGATTTAATTATTATCTATATGAATAAATATAACATTTGAGGATTAGCTTAACTTCATAATATGTGTCATTTTAAGATGAATGTATCCATGTTAGTTTTTAGGATGCATTCATTTAAATCATGATATATGTCATTAGAGAATAAATTAGTTAATATCGTTATCTATGTCAAGTTAGATGGTACACCCAGTACATTCGGTAACATCATAATTTACATTCTAAATAAAATATGATATAACGAGACGTAAACGGGACTGTAACATACTATGAACCGTTTATCACGTTTCTTTTTCTTTCAATTGGCGAACAGCCGGTGACCGTTGTTTGACCTTTAAGTACCACATGTTTGGGTACAGCATCGGTAATCTGAGCGTGAGCTATGGGGACACAGAATTATTCCACCAACAGGGAGATCTGGGCGATACCTGGAACTTGGCTAACGTCGACGTTGTGATGTCTGGATTTACTGAGGTAAACATAGCACTTGCGATGGGAAATCGTACACTACTGTTCTGAGTTAAAATAAGTTTCGTTATATTGTCATTTGTTTTACTTGTTTCACTTTTCATAACATCGGTTTTGCGATTAACCCATTTGTGGGTTTTCATACTATATACTTTATAACTGCGTCAACGCAAATCTTTTAATGTTGTCATCTTTTCACTCGTAAAATTGTTTTCGATGTATATAATATTACTCATTTTGTACCTTTATTTTACAATAATTAATTAAACTATGACACTTTTCAGCAGCTGGTCATGGCCGCTTCCGTCGGACTAAACAGAGAATATGGTGACATTGCCATCGATGACGTCAAACTAACTCCTGGCTCGTGTAAGTTGTGACACTAGTTGTGTTTGCTATGCGACTCGTATGATTATGTTTCCTTACGGGAAGACATCAAACTAACTCCTGGCTCGTGTAAGTTGTGACACGAGTTGTGTGTGTTATGCGACTTGTATGATTATGTTTCCTTACGGGAAGACATCAAACTAGCTCCTGGCTCGTGTAAGTTGTGACACTAGTTGTGTGTGTTATGCGACTTGTATGATTATGTATCCTTACGGTAAGACGTCAAACTGACTCAAAGCTCGTGTAAGTTGTGTCACTAGTTGTGTGTGTTATGCGACTTGTATGATTAGGTATCCTTACGGGAAGGCGTCAAACTAAACCCTGGCGCATGTAAGTTATGACACTAGTTGTGTGTGTTATGCGACTTGTATGATTATGCATCCTTACGGTAAGACGTCAAACTGACTCATAGCTCGTGTAAGTTGTGACACTAGTAATGTTATGCGACTTGTATGATTATGTATCCTTACGGTAAGACGTCAAACTAGAGCTGGCTAGTGTAAATTGTGACACTAGTTGTGTGTGTTATGCGACTTGTATGATTAGGTATCCTTACGGGAAGGCGTCAAACTAACTCCTGGCTCGTGTAAGTTGTGACACTAGTAGTGTTATACATATTAGATTATTATGTATCTTTACGGTAATAGGTCTATGTTGCTGTATTTTTCGATGCTTAATCATGAACTGATTGACATGAAAACATATGTATTATCGTATACATAATCATTGTCAGGGAGTCGTCATTATGTTGTGACTTACATGTCGTTTCTGGTTGATGAAACAGGTTAGCATCATCTTGTGAATGGGAATGCTAATGCTATTAGTTAATTGGTAACACATTTGAAAGGGGCGTTAATTCATCAATATTATACTAAAAACCAACGGAAAGATGCTAATAATTGTAACCCTTCTGGAAGGAAAGAAGATAGAATAAATCACGGGTATGGTGCGTTATGCAAATTGCAGATTTAAACTCTGTTAGTGACATAACAGTTTGTTCGCGCTTGTACAGGTAAGATGATAGAAGCTACATGGTGCAGTGTAATTCATGTTTGGCATACACATCTGTAACCAACGGTTAAAGGGTCAATCACCTATGCTTGCCTTACGTTATCCTATTATGACAGAGTTTTAGTTCTCTCATTAAATCTGCTGTGCTTCATTTCAGGCTGACCGACTATGCTGACCACACGAACATTTCCGAACCTCCGCTAGAAACATGGATGGTGGATTTGGGGACCTTCAGATTTCACATTTTCAATTCTGATTGTCTTTTACGAAGAGTTCTGGAAAAACGTGTTGAGAATGTCACAAACGTTTATTAACCACAGGACTGACTTGTCCTACATTATGATTATATATAATCAATGCAATCATTTGACATACTATATAACTAATCAAGATGCCTACTTCTAATCCATTACCTTTGTAACATCATTTACCTCGTCGTATAAAGGTATCTGATTCCCTATTTCAAATCACATTTATGTAACATAAAAACACGATATTGGCCTTACTGGCTCGTGTTTCATGCGCGGTATATGCTCCTCTTACGATCCTGCTTTAATTCACGCTATCGAGTGTTTGTATTTTAATCTATACGTTTGATACTATTCTTCAAGTCGTTGCATTCTATTATACAATATATGCTTTGTTTCGTTGAAACGAAGATTCATTTCTCTATATCAAATGAGCGTCCTTAGGTTTTTATGTAAATGTTTTGCTCTTAAATGAACATTCAGTAATTACGTTTGTTTTAGTTCTTTTATAAAGACAAAAAAGTCTAGATATTGTGTTACCATTTGTTAACAAATTTGCCTGAATGCTTGAAAATAAAAATAAAAAATATCTATATTTGCTTAATTATTTAAGTTCCAAATAATTTATCAAACAAAGCTATGCTATATGTTAATTCCACATAATGTCCTAAGACAAAAAATATTTCCCGTGAAGATTAAAATTGAAATCTTGTTGCAGAATTTTTTTTTTTTATCCTTTTATATTTTCCATCAATCAAAATATGTAATAGGAAAATATCTAAGTAAATGATATATTTCTATAATCATTTATTTCCTATTTTTTTTATTGATTATGTATTATCGTGGTTTTTTTTCTCTGTCGTTTTAGTTACTTTGTCTTGTCTTTTGTCGTTAGTTCGATTTCTGCTTTGTTCTTGTGAGTGGACGCTGTGACATATTTTATACCTTTTATTTACTGTATGCTGCTTACCATTTCTGTTTTGGATAATATAAATATGCACTCTACATCATAAACCCGTCTTTGTTATATAAATAATTGTCTTCTATGTGGTTGCCTGATATCTGCGGTTGACTTTGACGTATAACACTTATCAACGGATATGTCGTCACTAACTCCTTCTCTCTCGCATTCAGTTGCTTGATAAGTTGGATAAACACAATCGTTTCAACAAATTGATAGTTATAACGTTATTTTTTTTAACTTATTCACAAACTGATGTATAACAGGCCGCTTTCTGAAAAGTTGTGATCATCGAAATATTTCTCTCCCACACGCTCTATAGGTTTCCTCATTCCCGTCTCATTTGGTAAACTGTTATAAGCGACATGTAGTAACTAGTTTTGTTTTCCCGCTAGTGTGTAACATCATAGACGTGATTTCATTAATCAATCTTTGAATTATGACGTCACGAAAAATGCTTTCCGCTGTCATCTTGAATAGTGACGTCATGATTATTGGCGATAGTTTCCCATGATCGGACACAGAAAGGGTGCATTTAAATAGTAGACACATGTTTCTTTAGATATCTTTTAAAAGCGATGGAGAGAAATGGTCCCCAGACTCGTGTTGACTGTTTATTATGTTTATCTCACTTTCATTTGTTCAGATTCAAATTGAAAAAAAGATGCATGTACTCTCTAAACGTACTGTCTTTATACAATTTGAAAATTAACTAACCAGAGTTAGTTAAACATGATAACCAATCATCACTCGTCGGGGAACTGCTATATGTTATATTACATTGTTTAATATTCAGGAAAGCACACACCATGTTAAACACGGAAATGTCTTCCGTTTAAATGAGGATTTGTTGAACGAAATTACAAACGTATGTTATTTCAACCCGCAAATCAAGAGTCCAATTTTGTGGATGACGAGTTGTTAATAGAATTGTTTTGTCAATTTGCCAAAGATAGTATCAACCATCAAGATTTTAACAGTATAGTGTATACTCATACACGTGATATTCAAACCAGGTTTGATCCCTGTTTTATATGTTCAAAATATTATATAAAGTCATCAAGCAATAAGATTCTATATGAATCGTGTTTGAAACATTTTAGCAATATTAAAATAAATAAAACGATTGCACAAAATTACAACAACAGATTTTGTTAGGATATTGTTAAACGGAAATAATATTATCAATTACATTATAGCGTTGATTTTCATGAGATTTAAAGCAAACAGACTAAGTTGTTTATAGAATCATTTTAATTCAAGCATCAATAGTATATGTACAGTAACTGTAGTTGTAAAGATTCGAATGAATAATTAGGAGTAGAAAATGGTAACAGTTACATTCGAGATTTCAAATACAACTTAAATTCCAAGGAGCAAATGTCACAGTGATTTTACCACACAACTTATTCAATTCATCCGGAATTCATTAAAGTTCTTTCTTCGCATTACGCAAAAAAAAGAGTGTAAATCATCTTGCTCTTTCAAATGACAATGATTAAGAAATGCTGATAAAAAGCGGAAATTTTAAAATCACATCTGCATGCATTAAATAAAACAACTTATTCCGAATAATATACCTTAGTCATATTTTCAATAATTAATAATTATGGTAACCGGTTCACAAAATGCTACATAGATATATATTACATCCTACTGGTATTTTTTTATCATCAATCTAAAACACATAAAATTATGATAAATATACAATGTACTTTATCTTCAAACAAACATATATGCATCAACAAGAACGACCAGCGTCCTTTTTAAAATTGATTTAAGAAATGAAATAAATATCATTATTTGATGGATTTCTTCAGGCAGGTATTACATTATGCTTATTTGAACCGGGAAGTGAACACATATTTTCGGCCAGCGAAATCAGTCATAAGTAAAATATTTAAAACAAAACCACATTTACAGTCGTTGTTGCTTCAGTACATGCACGTGACAAAAACACGTGGTTTAACTTGTTCGTACATCTGACTTAGCAATTATTTATGAATATCATTAAAGATTGAGCGTTCAAAATATAACATTTGCCACAAAACCTTAAGGATCTGCTCTTATGAAAAGTTCAAGTTTTCTACTGACTTACATTTTTTGATTCATAACTTATTATAAAGAAAAGAGAATTCAGAAAATAAGAAAACATTGAAAATGATCAGTCCGTGTACAAGTTTTGCTTAACTCGGTCAAATATAAAAATGTACATAATATGTGATTTTTGATTAAGTTTATCAATTTGATCGTAAGGAGAACACAATTCAACCATATTTGTTAAATTGACAAAAATTGTGGGTTCGTTTTAATCAAATCAAACTTTAAATTATATTTTGATCTAAGGAAAGCAGTTTAAGTTACCATTAGCTTTTGATCATAATTTGTTACATTAAATAAAATCCTGTTTCACGAGATTTGAACGTGATTTTAAATTCAGAAAAGCAGATCGTTAATAACATTCAAAATATTTTGTTTTTTCAGTGTATCTTTTTTTCGAATTATTTTTTCTTGGCGGATTTAAAAACCAAAGCTTCCTCCAATAACCGAATTCATCAATTTCCAAAAATATCAGTTTGCACGAACGTGTCTTTATTTGGAAACCATGTTTTCGTTAGCAATTTTGCCCTTTTTTTTTTAGTTTTGAACGAAACTGTATACATGTATGAACATATTTAGATGGTAATTATTGTTCATACGAAACTATGTCAACAACAAACTCAACAAATAATACAATAGCACCTTTTGAACATTATCCTCTTACATTATACCTCTCACATTCCATTCAGTATGTATACACTGATAGCACGCATATACACACAAATACAAATAAATATCATTCAATCAACATTGTAGCTAGAAAAAAACGTTGACATAAGCCAGTTATAATACTATTGGATATTCAATTGAATCACTGAAAGCTTACTGTTTATAAAGGAGGAGCGTCCTTGCTTATTCTTCAAATCAAAATATTATATGATCTAAGCGTTACTCAAATGTTATGGATTTTTTTAGCATTTTGAAGCTATACGTATATGATTTATATAGGATTTTCGGTCTAGCTTACATCTTTTTACATCTGCAATATTATACATTTTTTGAAATTTCCATTCAATGAGTAAATGAAGTAGATCTGGCATTTTTCATCTTGATCGAGTATATCAACTCATGTTCGCCAAAATGCTATTCCTTCGTTATTGACTGGGACTTTCTAAGCAGGTGACATTTGTTGAACAGCTAAATGTTGTGCTTAACAAGGAACATATCTGTTTCGTCATCAGGTATTGACCGCTACACAAAGCCCTCCTTGAAGCACGTATCCTTTACAGCACATCATATCTGGGTCAGGGCAGGTGTAAGTCTCCGTCCGGTATCTGTCAGGACGATGTACAGGTTAACTGGTATGGTCATTTTTTATATAACGAGTGTGTCACATTTAAAACGTCTTACATTAACAATAGTGACGATCTGAAAACTACTTCCATTAACGATAGTGATACATTTTAAACTTCTTATATTATCGAAAGTGATAAATTGAAAACTACCTATATTAACAAAAGTAATGATTTGAAAACTACTTCCATTGTTGATAGTGATAAAATGAAAACTTTTTAAATTAAAGATAGTGATAAATAGTGAACTACCTATATTAACAAATGCGATCAATTGAAAACGTCTTTATATGAACGATAGTGATAAATTGAAAACTTCTTATATTAACGATAGTGGTAAATTGAAAACTTTCATTACAACCATTCTGCTGTATCTAATTAAAAAATAGTTTCAGAAATACAACCTTAATTAATCGAATCAAGGGAGATAACCTTTACATTATGCATCGTTTATTGAATAAAAACCGTTATGGTACACACAACAGTAAATATTTAAATGCCATAATGATATTTTGTTTTACAATGAAATTGATATTTAAACCATTGCAGAATTAAGTTACAGGTATATTTTCCTTTTTTTTGTGTAATTTATTATTTAGTACAAAGACAACTGATCCTCCATCTTGAAAAATTAGTAAAAAACAAATTTTAAATTAAAATAGTCAACAGAAACTAACAAATACGTTATCTATACTACATATTTAATGTTACATTACAATGTACCTGTACTGCGATGCCTTCCTAAAAACATAATTTGAAAATTCGGATTTACATGTAAAATAAGCATAATGCCATTTTACTTCAATCTTAATCATGATGTTATATATTTATTATCATTTCTCCCAACTCCTCTTAATCGTTTACCAGTGTGTTATCACCACTTATTGCTGCATATTCAATATGTACAAAAGATAAATTGATAGCAATATATAGGTAAACCTTACTTACTTTGTACAAGTATTATCTGACCAGGGCGGACAAAACTCTTTTGTTGCCACTGTTCTCGTACAGGTGGTCATGATTGGCGTCTCACATGGTGCAAATGAACATCCTTCGATCTCTTCATTATCATCACCACTGCAAATGTACATAAAATGACCTTTCTATTCACACAATTACGACTATTATACAATAAATATACTGGTCTCGTGAAATTCTTCATTCGGACAATAAATAGGATAGTATTTTGAATGAAAAATTAACTTTGGATAAGCATTTCAATTTTGATTTTCAAGTAATTTGCGTTTTTGTCATCATAAGGAAACAAATATTGAGTAACAGAAGGCTTGACTGAAACAAAACATAACCAATACAACTTTATAATGAACTGTATCGGGTGATTTAGCCCCACAAATCTGACAGTTTTTGGTGGTTTTTTTAATAGTCCAAAACTTGCAAACGCAAATACACACATTTCGGTTTAAATACAAATCTTACTTAACTTGTTTTACATCCTTACTTAATAGAAATATGCACAGGGTATGACATTGTCCGCTTGATCGAATGATCAGTCAATAATTTTTTTATGAATAAAATGGTATGATTTTTTATTCTGTTTTATTGTCCTTACACTATGGCAACACTTACTCAAACGATTCCAGATTACTTTACTCTTTTTGTCTTTTTTTATTGTCCGGTTAAACTTTGGTGACACTTACCCACACGATTCCGGATTACTTTACTCTCTCTGTCTTATTTTATTGTCCAGTTAAACTATGGTGACACTTACCCACACGATTCCGGATTACTTTACTCTCTTTGTCTTATTTTATTGTCCAGTTAAACTATGGCGACACTTACCCACACGATTCCGGATTACTACACATTCTGTGTCCTGCTTTATTGTCAGATTACTATATTAACGCTTACCCATACGATTCCTGATTACTACACACTCTGTGTCCTGTTTTATTGTCCGGTTACTATGGTAACACTTACCCCCACGAGTCTGGATTACTACACGCTCTGTGTCTTGTTTTGTTTTCCGGTTACTATGGTAACACTTACCCACACGAGTCTGGATTACTACACGCTCTGTGTCTTGTTTTGTTTCCACATCCGCCGCATGCTTTAGAGCATGCAGACCACGTGGACCATCCAATGACGTCACTCGAGCCTTGCTGAGTTGCATTGTCATCATTACTCGGCCCGGGTGCTGAAGGAATATCTGGAGACACTGCGTCGTCGTCCTTGGCACCAGACGATGCTAATATACATATATATATATATAAAAAATGTAGTTGTTTATTCCAAATAAGAACGTTCGCAGTATTAAACAAAAATTCATTTAAAAAAATATGCTCATAATGACTTAGTATAGATATGTTTATGTTTTGAACGATATAAATAGTAAGAACTATATATTTATTAACTTAAAAGAACAGTTGTTGCATATGCGACTTAGATTTTATTTTTATTTTACACATCTATTCATATATCTATTCATGTACTTTCCTATACATTTTGATTTATATGTGCTACCAATACACACTTACTTCCCTTGAGACCCTTTTTAAATATACATACCGACACAAAAGTTGCCGTCCAGATGGAAATTACTACAGCATGTTGGAACAACTACAGTACATGTCTCATCGCGTGACATATCTACCATCCTTTTAAGAAAAAAGAATCTCCATTAAAACATAAAGAATGATTTTGTATTCTAACAAACACAAAACGTTTTCGTAAATAGATCCTCTCGGTTAGCAGTTTTTTTTAGCAACAATTAACTTTGACATGTCAGCTCTATAAACAGATCAGACTGGTATGTTACTACTACGAAAAGGTAAGTTGATGATCGTGAAAATTAAGTCACAATGATTGGTAGTCAGATGATCTTCGTAACAAGAGGCCCAGAGGGCCTGTATCGCTCACCTGAATATGTCTAAAATAATTGGTATGAAGTAAAGATATAGCACTCCATGGTAGGTGCTGTAAGTACATATAAAATTTCAGAAAGATCCATCCAGTACTTGAGATATAGCAAGAACAAACTTTAATACACATCGTTTAAACAAAATTGAGTCCCCTTGGCCCAAGGATGCTCCAGACTATATAAGGATAAAATCCCTTAATCCCGATGGTTGTAGAAGGATTTTAAAGGTTTTACCTCTATTTCTCCTATTGGGCCCCGCCCTTCTGCCCCCTGGGAGACCACACACACTGCTTATACAAAATTGAGTCCCATTGGCCCAAAATCCTGTCTTTCGTACAAAAGGAGAAGGTATTTGAAAAAAAAAATGCTATTTTCCCCTATTGGGTCCCTCCCTTCTGCCCCCAGGGGGGCCACACTCGCTGTTTATACGAAATTGAGTCCCTTTTGCCAAAGGATGCTCCAGACTAAATTAGGATAAAATCCCTTAATCCCAGTGGTAGAAGAAGGATCATAAAGGTTTTACTTCTATTATGGGCCCGGCCACTCAGGTCCCAGGTGGGCCACACCCACTGTAAATACAAAATTGGTTCTCCTTTACCCAAGGATGCTCCACACCAAATATGGACCAAATCCTTTCATTCCTACAGAAGCAGAAGGATTTTAAAGAATTTGCTATTTTCCCCCTATTGGGCCCCACCCCTCAGGCCCCTGGGGGGCCAGACCCACGTTTTTTTACAAAATTGGTTCCCCCTCAACCAAGAATGCTTCAGACCAAATATGAAACAAATCCTTTCATTCCTACAGAAGCAGAAGGATTTTAAAGAATTTGCTATGTTTCCCCTATTGGGCCCCGCCCCTCAGTCCCCTGGGGGCCCAGACCCCGCCGTTTATACAAAATGGGTTCCCCTTCACCCAAGAATGCTTCAGACTAAATATGGACCATATCCTTTTATTCCTACAGAATAAGAAGGATTTTAAAGAATTTGCTATGTTTCCCCTATTGGGCCCCGCCTCTCAGGCCCCTGGGGGCCCAGACCCACGGTTTAAAAAAATGGTTCCACTTCACCCAAGGATGCTTCAGACCAAATATGGAACAAATACTTTTATTTCTACAGAAGAAGAAGGATTTTAAAGAATTTGCTATATTTCCCCTATTGGGCCCCGCCCCTCAGTCCCCAGGGGGCCCAGACCCCGCCGTTTATACAAAATGGGTTCCCCTTCACCCAAGAATGCTTCAGACTAAATATGGACCATATCCTTTTATTCCTACAGAATAAGAAGGATTTTAAAGAATTTGCTATGTTTCCCCTATTGGGCCCCGCCCCTTAGGCCCCTGGGGTGCCAGACCCTTGGTTTATACAAAATTGAGTCCCCTTGGCACCCTTGGGGGGAGGGGGGTCACACCCACCATTTATACAGAATTGAGTCCCCTTGGCCTAAGTATGCTCCAGACCAAATTTAGTCAAAATCTACTTGGCCGTTCAGGACTAGTAGCGTTTTAAAGGAAAAGTTGACGGACGACGGACGGACGACGGACGCTGCGGTATGGCATAAGCTCACCATGGTCCTTCGGACCAGGTGAGCTAATAATTATGGTTCATATCAAAATATGAAGCTGAAGAAAAGAAATTTGATTGGTTTTCAATATATGAATGATAAATCATTAATAAATTTTAAATATGATATTTAATTAGAACGTAGCAGATATCCACGATGAAGCATCATTATAGTGTTTTGTGATGGTTAAGGTGCGTAACAGAAATCTTGATAAATGGTCCGTCATTATTTACGCGAAGGTGAAGGCTAATAATGTAGTGTTGTATTTTCCCGTTTTCTTTGGTTATGTTAAATATGAAGTATCAGATCACAATTATACTAGTGAACAGATGTAGGATATGATTATATGATCACAGGAATATGATATATAATAATATAACTTATAAATCATGACTTGACTAACCTATGACTTATGATTTTACTAACCTGTACTTGTTACAGTTGTTGCTGACACGAGAAGAAAACCATACTTTTTTACACGGAACCCATTCCTTCTTCTTCCACGTTTTCCTGCATGTTTTGAAAACAGTCTGGAAACAGGGGCGAACCCTTGTGGTCATTGACAATGTGGTGTTTATCAAGGAACAACCTCCACATGACTCTGGAAAAAGAAAATCACCCTTCGGAATGAATAATAAAACTTCTTCTTTATTGGGAACTTTCTTATGTCAAGTACTTTCTATATAATGATTCAAATACATATTGAATTAGGAAAACAAGATATATATCATTTTTCTTTTCTGATTCTTAATTTTGCAATACACTGAATATATTGAATACTGATTTTTGATATATATATTAATTACGCTTTAAATTTGAAAAAAATGTTTTAAAAAGGTCTATTCTCACCCTTTTAGGTATGGTAAGTTTATACAGTTGTAATTATAAATAGCGATGGATTCAGATCACCTTCAAATTATTATACGCAGATTTTTTTTCTGTTTTTTCCTTTTTTTCTGATTTTCTTTTTTATAAAACTCGTTTTTTCATTCCAAAAAGATTTTATTGAATATTTTAGCTTAAACGAATTCAAAAGGAATTGTGCAAAAGACATAATGCCTTTACAAGGCCTATCCTGGTATGGGCAATGTACTGTGAATTCCTCTTGCTATCGGTATTTTTAGCTACCAACACTATCGAGGAGTATCTGTCATTGTTTACGTACCAGCCCAAACGTTTGCTTTGAATCCTATCGACCCATTATTGTGACCTCGTAGAAGAACCACCATTTCATTGCTCTCGGAAATCAGAGCACCGACGCCTTCTTTTAACGAACAACAATATCTGCGATTGAAAAAGGGTGTATATTTATTCATGTATATGTCAATATAAACACACATTTCCGTGTAGGTATATACATAGGATTTTAATAAAGACAAAATAACACTGTCAACTTATTCAATAAAATAACTCAGACAACGTATTTAATAAAATATCAGTGTTAACTTATTCAATAAAATAACAATAGCAACTTATTCAATAAAATAAAACTGTCAACTTATTCAATAAAAAAATAACACTGTTTCAACTTAATCAATGAAATACAACTGTCAACTTATTCAATAAAATAACACTGTTTCAACTTAGCTGCATATAATATCATCAGTATTAGTATAAGAAGCAAACTATATCACGTGGTTAATAAATGCACCATATGGCATAGTACTAGTCGTGGTATTCCGTCTTTGCGTGTTGCAGAGTTATCTGCCCTTGTGAGCAGGTATTGATTGTTACACCATTAGTTTGTGTGAGAAAATTACATCGCTTTCTCACACAAACTAATGGTGTTACAATCAATACCTGCTCACAACAGCAGATAACTCTGCAATACGACAAGACGGAATACAACGATATGAAACATTGCTTTTGTATTATTATTTGGTGAAACATTACATCATGTATACGTTACCTTGCGCCAGTATTAGCGAGATCTGCGGAATAGCGTACTTCCAAAAAGCTATCACAAGTAACAAAGTGATCCTTGTAGCACGTGTCAAAGTTGATGAAGTCTCCAACAAGGTCAAGGTGAACATTCATCCCATGAGGAGCCTAAAGCAAATATAAAATAAAATATAGAAATGGTAGCTGGTTCAAATGTATTATTTACTATGGTTTACTTTATATTGAAACAAATGTTATGTTAATTTATATATCTACCGAGTAATGTAATGTTAAAACGCATTCAGGTTTATGTGTATATGGTTTGTTAGTAAACATAATTATCTACTGAAAAAAACGTAAATATAAAGCAATAAATATACGAAGAACTTCGATTTTTTTTTTTACTTGTACATGTGAAAATCATATCAATATATAATGTACAAAACATCATGTATCAACACATTAGCGGACGCGCTTACCCTGATAAACCAGTTGCACTTGTGACCCTTTTGGAAAGATTGCAAGTGTCCAATTGACGTTGGCGTTGATGTAACGTTTATATCGCCGCCACACGATACTGAAGATACGAAAAACAACATTGCATATAAAAACAAATGTCAGGTATTTTTTTTACTGTTTTACAAGATTAAGCGAACATCGTTTTGTAACTGTACATTGTCCAACACAACTTTATCGAATTATGCATTTTCTGATATCGGATACATTAACATACAATTAAATATTACAGCTTGACAAAAAAGCTCTTTACACTTACGTCCGACAGGGGGCGCTGTGGTCTCACAAAAGTCCCCGGATAAACCTTCTGGACACCGACAAGCAGTACACTGTGTAGGGTCCTGGTAGCCACCATGTTTACAGGGTTGGGCCAATTGAACACCATGACAAATACCTGTATTCAATCAATATTAAAAACAGGATACAAACCAGTATTATAAACAGTGATATTGATATCAATGTATATAGAAAACAACTAACTTTCCAGATATTAAAAATGAAAATGCATTTTTGAAAAATTGAGAAAAACCTTCAAACTTCCATCATTTTTTTATAAATGCAACGGAAATATCGCATTAATGCAGAACCTACACACCTAAAGTAAAATATAATGTATACCTCGTCAACACGTAAGACAAAATATAATGTATACCTCGTCAACACGTAAGACAAAATCTAAACTAAAAAATCTTTATTTTGTTCATATTACCCAGTTTTACTGATTTAGATTTCCATTAAAAAGGCTCCTTTGATCATATAATCCTCCAGTTTATTGAAAATGCTATAATGTTTAAGTTGACAAGTGTTGTCTCTTGTTCTGCTCTGTTGAAACGTTGGTGTTGCTTATAGTGACCAGAATTGAGTTGAAACCCATATTTTGGGTGAAGCCAAGAACAAGAAAAGTAAATATCATCAAATGTTTTAGAGGGTAATCAAACACTGTTATTTAATTGTTGTTCCTTCTCACCCGAACAGTAGACAGAATTTGCCAGCTTTACGTCATAGAAGGAAAGTCCGTGCCGTTGACCTAGTGCGCGTTGTAAGTTAGGTATTCGAGAAACTACTGTTGGATTGCCAGCCTTGGAGAACGCCTGCAGTAAATAAAAACGTACAGGTAACTAAGTATCTGCTTGACAGAGCTGAAAGATAACAATTACATTTCAAACGGATTTCAAATCTCCAACTTCATATCTAAAGGCTGATGCACCATACATGGTATATATTCTATGTGGGACAAAACACCAATAACAAACAATTAAAAAACCCCACATAATGTTGTATATACACTGACCTTAGCCAACCTACATTGTATGAAAAGATAATAAAGTAATGCTTAACAACCGTTGAGTTTAAAATAATGTATTTTCTGTCAACCGGTGGCCTGAAACCTTTTAAAAGAAGTTGTTCTTCGCAAATAGCTAAAGCTGTCTCTGTATTGCTATCATCGGGCAATACTAAACGAACAAATATTCGTTAATAAAACGTTTTACCAACTTTAGTAGACCAATTTATGACGTTGAAAGGTTCCCATTATATATTAGCAAAACCATGCACAGTCATCCGCGTATTCACTATGTCTATAATAACTATGTGAATTTGAAGGGAGATAACTCGTATGAAAGCATATATAACATCAATAATATACAATCTGTCAATCTGATAAAACAATGACCAGATTTGATTCATCAATGGAGTAATTAATTACATGTGATTTAAATGTTGGGCTTGATAATATGTAAGTCTTAAATGTAAAATCAACTTGTGCATGAATTTTGATATAGAATGTATTTGCATGAATATAGACCTCAGTTTTATTCCTGATGTCTGATACAAAAAAAAGACGAGGAAAAAATAATAATTATCTTATCCTCTGAACACAATTAAATACTTTATAACTAACTTGTTGTATCTAGCCAATCACGTGACTTACCGTGGATCCATAATGCATCACTGAGCCTACGTCATAAGGAACTCCCATGGCCATTATGTCTTGCCATGACAACTGAACAAAGTCCCCGTGCTTGTTATCCATGATATTTGGTGCCTCAATAATCACATGGTCGTTTCTGTCTGGTCGTGCCTGCTCGTGCCAAAACCCTATCACATGACCTAGTTCGTGTGCAATTCTTCCTTTCTAAAAGGAATAATAATATATTTTGCAATAAACAGCGTATAGAAATGCATATGTATGGTGTTTTTTTTTATCAAATTTTGGGCTTTAGTACCAAACTAACTTGAATACCATATATCATTCCTTGTGCTACATGGTATTTTTTTTTCCTTTTTTTTATTCTCTGTTTTATGCACTCAAAAAGAGAGTGGTTATTTTTTTTTATCATCACAAAAACCAAAGCAGGATTTGTGTACGATATCTGCCAATGTATATGGCTTATTTTCTCTTATTGAATCAATATTTCTTAATATGTTCGCATCATTACAAAAATCGATCACTATATAATTAGTTTGTATTATGTTAAGTCATCAGTGCTACCTTTCGAATATTGCAATACTTACGTAAACGCAACCATCCACCGATACTTTTTGTATGTTGTTTGCATTTTCTTTCTTGCCGACATAAGACCAGCATCTGCATTTATTAACAGAAATATCTATATGGCTTCGAATATTTCGTTAATAATTTCTTTAATTTTAGAGCCAATCTGATAATGTCTCTAGCCTTTTAATGTACTATAAATTATAACAACTCAGAAATTTATGAAAGTGTGTGAAAAGCAAGAAAATATCGTATATTTCAAGAATGTCTTCTTGACCTAATATGTTTTCTAAAACTTAATAAATAATTTTGGAAATAATCAATTAGATATTTACCCGTTGGGTGTGAATTCGATTGTGACGTTGTTCCTGTTACCCTGTTCCCACGTGACCGGCCCGGATGACCTGCTAAAGTTTAGACAAGTCAAATCTTCCCACTCTTTTATTACACTCTCGACCAGCTGTTCCATTTGAGGCGCTGAAACGCAATCAAGTATGACAATAATACACATTTCCAAGAATTCAACACCAATGCTTCACAAAAATTCTAAAATGCGAGTGGTTTATCAAGCACAGGGATATCATCAGGAATTCAGAAATGAATACGCACTACGACGATATGGTTAAATGCCAGAATTTTCTGTAAAATATTTCATGATTATTTCATATCTAGTTACCTTCGTGCTCTTTACGAAAAAAAATCAATTAAAGCAAATTAAAACAATCCAGAGATATATAGGAAGGAACCATAGCGTAATGACGTACTGTGCGTCCCGCCGTAGTAGTAGTAAATCGGCATGTTCCAGAGACTTGTTACACTCGCAGACATCTTCCGTTTTTGACGAATTTTACCATGTTCGTAAATGGTCTCGGCTTGTTGTGGTGTCAGTATTATGTCCATTTCGTACACATAGTTAACCGTACTCATGAAGTTCCTCTGCTCGGGCTGACAAATATATTAGATATATGTAAGATTTAAAAAAATGTATAAATTAGTAAACCGACAAGCCATTATGATATTAGTTCAAATAATAGTGAATTCAATAATCAAACATAGCATATGTGTATTGCAAAAATACAAATTCGGAGGAATGGGAAACACAAACTGAGTGCTGTTAATATTTTTGTTTTCAAATTGTTGAATGTAGTAAAGGCTAAAACGAATTTATTTAGAAATCATTTCAAATTATTTTTTTATTTATTACTAGCCTTGTACTAGGATGTCAAAGCATGGTAGGCTTAACGAACCTTTAACTCTTATACTGAACAAATAAATTACATTTAGAACAAAAATTGAATTGTTAAGAATTCAAAATGATCGCCAATACACACACGCATGCAGTAGAAACTAAAACGAATTCATATAGAAACCAATATTAAACAATTTATCGAATGTTTTAGGGGACACATTAGACATGTTCAGTACATAAAAGATCCAGCTACTCAATCTTCTTACTGTCTGCTCTGGTTGCTGGTTCTATGTTGAAGATTACTTAAATTAATTCCTGTTTTTTTTTTTTATTTCTTGTAACTTTCTAGCGCATATTATGATTAATTGAACCTCATGAATATAACCAGCAGCTAACAATTAACTACATTTTACCAGTGCTACTTCATATACCTTTTTAAATCCGTGTAATTCCTCCATTCGTCTCTCAATCCCTGCCAAAGCTCGCATTACCCTCATCTTGTCTGTCAAAGATTGTCCATCCTTTATTGATAATGGCTGTGTCTGCAATTACAACAGAACATGTTCTCATCGTTATTGATGTAAGAAATAAACTACCATGGCCTGCTATCTTTAAAATCAACAAAAACTCAACTTGGTTCTGATTTTGTCTTTCTCTATTGACTTTTAAATTAGATTTTCTTCCTGCCAATGTTTCTATTTTGAGAAGGAACAGTGGTTTAATTAGTTCCTAGAAATATGAAACAATAGCAACAAAAGCATGAAATGACACGAATACAATTGGAGGTTAAATAATAACTTATATAAACGGACTATGAAATTAATGGAAACAATAGCAGGTGCTTCAAAATCGCTTATTCTGCAGTAACAAGGGTATCGTTGATGACTTTTTGGAATAATAAACTTTCGAATAGTTTACAAAATAAATAAAATTGGCCAATGATTATTGATATCTTATTTCAATGCAAGTTTATATGTATGTCGAAAATAATGAACACGTTCTTTGACTTTAAAAATAATTCCCTTTTTATATGTTTGGCGCATAATTTCTAACAATTTTGTGTCAGATTGCATACGCACACGCATGTCAGTAATGCCGTCAAAGCACTAATTGACCCAGCCGGTCTATTTTACTATTGTTTATAAGTAAGTTAAAGTAGAAAAAAATCAGTGGTGACTGTTACTTTTTTGATAGGAGCGTCAACATTAAGGTAGTGTTAAATCAATAAATAACTGATAAGGAACATTCTTGGTTTATGAGTTGTCACGGTAAGTGTTACATATCTTGTCCCTGACCATGCCTTAGGACCACTGGTGATGTAAACATACATACTGCCGGAAGTAATACGATGGGGTTGGCGTGGATACCATGTACTAGGATGTCAAAGCACGGTTAACTTAACAAACCTCTAACTCTAATCTAGCCTTGTACTAGGATGTCAAAGCATGGTAGGCTTAACAAACCTTTAACTATAATCTAGCCTTTTACTAGGATGTCAAAGCACGGTTAGCTTAACAAACCTCTAACTCTAATCTAGACTTGCACTAGGATGCAACTCTAATCTAGACTTGCACTAGGATGTCAAAGCATGGTAAGCTTAACAAACCTTTAACTATAATCTAGCCTTTTACTAGGATGTCAAAGCATGGTAAGCTTAACGAACCTTTAACTCTTATACTCTTATTCAATACCGTGTATTCAATCCAAATTTGAACAAATATGTTACATTTAGAACTGAAATTGAATTGTTAAGAATTAATAATGATCGTCCATACACACACGCATAAAACACATTCAAACACATAGCAATTGTTATATAAATTCCGAAAGAAAATTATAAACATTATTCATATTTCAATTAACCACGGGATAAGAAAAACAAAAATAACATTTTAACAGTTTAACGCATATTCTGAAGGTCAACCAATTCCAACTAAAATAAAATAGCATTATGCCATAAGGTAATTGTATAGTGTGATAAAAAATGTAATAGTGTTATTTTTTTTTTACTTTTGAAGATAATTATGCTAGAATAAAAACATACAGAAATATCTTTTATTACTGTAACTAAATAAAATACATATCAGTAATCAACTAAACATACAGGTAATTCTTTAGTTTTCCGGTTTTCTTATTATGTTTCTTACTCATATGGGAGGGTCACAATTAACTTAATACTGTACAACGTTTAAGCAATAAAAATTGGACAGGTCACGATTCAGAACAAGGCGGAAAGAATGTGAATGTTTCTTTCAGTTTCTATTAAAATAGAAAGGAAACAGGTAAGAATTCATAACAAAGTCAGGAAGCAACAGTTTTATCAATCAGTAGAGCAAACATAATAGAAGGATTGACTAAGAACATTCGATAAAATTCCGAAATGAGGAAAGGTCGACAGATATTAATCAGCGAAGTATGTATAGGTGGTCTCAAACGTTGACCACATACACATGTAAACGTCACAGCATTCTGACGCCAGTGGGGACTGGCCAACCGTGGTTCACTGTTACAACACATCACAGGAAATCAATTTGATACAAGGAATATAGGGTCGGTTGTACTCAGTAAAATGGTCTGTTCATGTCGACAATTCGTTTTTATAAAGATACTTCAAACAAATAACTGTTCGATAAAATGCAATGGAAAGATTTTACTCGATCAGGTTATTGTTTAAAGATATTATTTACATTGATAGTCATTTCTACATATATATGTTTTATATAAATCAAACATAGTTACATGTAACATAAAATATAGTATATATATATAAATATGTGCATATATGGGTCAAAGATGTCATATCAGCGGTAAATTCACATATAACACTTGATCCTTATAAAAGGTGTTTGTAGGATACGAATAACTTAACAAAGATATGTAGGGCAATGAAGTAGTTCCAACAGTGTAGGCACTAAGGTTATTATAGTTTCATTAGTTTCTCTTAAAACATCGTTTGTATTACATATTGTTACAATACATGAAACTGTTAACTTGACCGCTGATATACATAACAACATGAACATATTATATTACAATATTAATGTTACCCAGAAGTATGTTTCACCATATTAATATCCATTTCTGTATGCACACAATTATGGTCTAATGTTTTCCAGATGTCCCATCAGCGTCAAACTCCTTTAGAGCGTGTGTTTAATGTACAATTGGTGTTACGAATAACATGTTCCTGGAAAATCAATTGTGTTCTTTGTGAGGATATGTTTGCCCTTTGTTTTAAAAGAAGTTACTTGAAGTAATTAACACTTGTTTTATCTTGTGAAAATATATTGTATTTGGCAGTGAAGAGAACCTGAGAGCAGACAACGTGTGTGGACAGAAATAAGGCGAGCTGCATTTGAATTGATAAGTTGTTAAGCGTTACACGTATTTATATTGTAGGGCGGTAATACTACTTATTCATGGTACACCACGTGCAGGTTACATTTATGTGAGGGACATACGTGTATATTTCATTACAAGCAATGGCAGTTTAGTAGACAATTAATTGCTTTATTTATAATGAACTGTTTAATTATGATAAACAGTAGGTTTCGTAGATAATATAAGCATATAATTTCTCGTCATAATTTGTACCAGTATAAAGTTAGTCGTACAACTCACTATCATCTTTCTTCTATATAAATAAATTACAAATAACAGCTTCTTTTTATGTTTGTGATTAACTACACAGTACACTAACCCTTATAAGCTACAAAATTTCCAATAGAGCTATATAATTTGAGCTTTATTTGTTACGTCGTTATCAAAATATAGACAAGTGAAAAGTTTAAACCATAGTATATTCAGGTCAATTAAACATTTAATTACTAAACTATTTCGTGGAGATGATTGAGAAACAAGTAGTACTTACTGATATATTTACAGCGTTAGCTTGAATTAGTATATAAGAAACTGTTGAGAATGATACAAGAAACACATATTATTTAGTATATGATAAAGCTCTACCCGGTTCGATAGGCAGTGAAGTCAGGACAAGGCAAGGTTTACACAAAAAGAGACAAGTTATCGTGCATTTGGGAGAAATAAACATTTATTTGATAAGTGATAATTTTCATGAACTATTGGTGATGGAATGTGCAACAATACGTTTATTGAACGGTCAAATAAGAGTTTGAATGGTCTTATTTAACAATATGTTTTGTTGTTTAAATCGTTAAAATATTGTCAATCTAGCTTTACTTATTTACAGTGATACACTGATCAAAGATTCAATACTAATCTTTTATTACCCAAGTCGCGTTGTTAAATTAAATAGTCTGTATAAATCAACTTACAAATACTGATATATAACGGAGGAACATCAAACAAACCAAATGAAGCACAATAACAGATACAGATATAGTATTCTTTCCGAGGTAGACAGCTCCACGTAAACCACACATTCAAAGCTCTACTTACTTAGCATTTTGTTAAACAAATTGCAATTTCAAGCTGTTTTTTTTGCATAATAAATTTATAAATGTCCGTAAATTATCATACAATCTACCTTGACCTCCTTTCTCACAGTCTATGTATACACTGTGATCTACATATGTTGGTTACACTTTGTTTATCAATGAAATCTACTACACTTGTCGAGTGTTGACCTGTGTCTGCAAAATGTCAATCTCGGGTCATGACCTATACGATTTATTGGTCGGTCGTGTCATTTGTCACGGGAGGTGATCACAACACATATGTGCATCTTAGATCATTGATGATTATTGTCGCTTGTATCAATGATAAATAACAGACCTAGTAGTTGTTTCAACGACTTCCTGATACGTGCAGAAAGTCAAGGTGTGTCATGATTATAGGTCGTGAGATAGATAGACAGTAGAAATTGTATAATACCGGCGTTTCTATACAGGGTTTATACATCAATTGTTTATACCTGATGTCTAAGATTGATTAACAAGTTTAGATAAGGATTCATCAAGTGTGTCGATAAGAATCAATACAACTCAATAAATATATGAACACAGTATCATTTCTTGTAATTCAGAATAATCACGTGCATATTTTCCGAAGTAGATGTCACTTTCAAATTTTCAAATAATACCATAATATCTGAGAAAAACCATGAACTAAAATTTGTATTTTCCGAATTTATAGACATCCAACTATAAATCAAAAACAGCTGTTTCATCAATGTGAAGAAAAAATACAGAAAGCTTTTTATATTATGGCAGGCCGTTTTTCAAACAGGGAAAATGTTCAACCCCGCAGGCTCGTGTCTGTCAGAGGCACGTGGTATCGACACCTATGATTGGTGTAACTGCCATACATAACAATAACTGCGCAACAGGTCGATTTCTGATTTAGACGATCAAAACATTGCCTTTCAGTTTGAATTTTTCCTTCGGTAATAGTGAGTAAATGAAAAAATATTACACTTAACAATAAACATTATCAAACCAGAATGATATATACAAATGTATCCATAATAAGCACCAAACTGTTCGGTCTTATATGATATATAATTATATGTTTATTTTTTTGTACACCAGTCTAACATTTGTTGGATATCAGATATAGTATA